AATGGGCACGTGAGCATCAGAACTGGACCATGGAGCAATGGAAGAAGGTGGCCTGGTCTGATGAATCACGTTTTCTTTTACATCACACACAACGGCCGGGTGCGTGTGCGTTGCTTACCTGGGGAAGAGATGGCACCAGGAAGAAGGCAAGCCGGCGGAGGCAGTGTGATGCTCTGAGCAATGTTCTGCTGGGAAACTTTGAGTCCTGGCATTCAAGTGGATGTTACTTTGACACGTACCACCTACCTAAACATTGTTGCAGACAAAGTACATCCCTTCATGGCAACAGTATTCCCTAATGGCAGTGGCCTCTTCCAGCAAGATAATGCGCCCTGCCACACTGCAAAAATTGTTCAGGAATGGTTTGAGGAACATGACAGAGTTCAACTTGGCCTCCAAATTCCCCAGATCTCAGTCTGATCGAGCATCTGTGGGATGTGCTGACAAACAAGTCAGGTCCATGAGACATCACTCTAAACTGAGATATTTACAGAGCGTTTGTGTCGTGAGATGTAGGTGGGGATCACAAGCAAATTTTTTATTGTTTCCACTTGAGATGTATTTGAAGTGAAAATCAATATGTTCTGAATTCGATTAAACCCGCGGAAGAAATTAAATATAAAAAACGTCTTATCAAAACATTTCCGGATACGCAACCGGACACGCCTCTCCGTCAACCAATCAGCGTTCACCTCAAGCCCTCTCGACGCACAGCACCGTCGCAGATACGTACAGCGCGCTTACCCATAACCCCCTTCTCTGCGTCGCGACGCAAATATACAAACACGCATTAACGCAGAATTGTAAACCAGGCATAACTAGCCAGGCTAACTGCTACAACTATCACAATAAACCTTTTAAATGAATAAAAGTATATAAAAGTATTGCAATCATTTTAGCACTACATAATCTTTTCCGCTCACTACGGGTCGCTATGCGATGCGTCACTTCCGCCGTCTCAAGTCGCCATGCTGGGCGAGCGCTGGTTGTTATGGCAACCGAGACGCAACTTACGCTATGGAGGTGTAGTCTATTTATAAACACAACGGAGTGTATACGTACTTTCATAAATAAAAATAACAAGAATAAGATCAATAAGAGTTTTCCTGGATCGTTATAGTAGGCAACGTTGTTAAATAGGCTTGTGTGTGAAATAAATAATTATTTTAAAAAAAGCAATGAAAAAAAGGATGGAAAAAGTCAGCAAGGAGAAAGGGACTTCTGGAGTTCCGGAGGAAGAGCCTTCACACACTGCAGGTTGGATTTGATTAGATTTTTTAATGTTTAACTTATCTACCTGTGATCTTTTAGCTTTATATTATTGTCTGAGTGCTTTTTGGTTGCATACATTTCATAAGGCAAGACAATACAAGTGAAAAGGGCCATTTTTGGTCAAAAGTATGCGGACACCTGGCCATCACACCCAAACCATGATCCAGAACCATGGGCATTAATACAGATTTATTC